GGAGCCTATCTGTATAGAGGTAAATAGAGATCATGCCCGTCTCATGATTTGCAGCAAGTTTTAATGAGGTTATGGACATCATTAACTTGGTGTGCTGACTATATAAAACCAAATAATATTCTGTAAACTTTCAAGAATTATCAATTTGATAGTGCTTGTGGCTTGGTATCACTCATGTTTAATTCATTATATGAGAATATGAATTCTTATTATCTTCACCATAACGCTCTGTATATGCTGTAAAATGGAATTTTCTTCTTTGTCTCATAACCACGATCTTCAGACGTTTTTAATGGTTTAACGACCTCACGACTGTATTAATCAGGACCAGCAATATCTTGTAGATTTTTTGGCATATACCAATATGACGATGCCTGTAAACTGGCTTCTCTCAAGCTAAATTACTAATGTGAGAATAAAACTTCTTATTTATTCATTTATTGGAAGTGGTGTCTGCATCACTAACTGACTAGTTTAAAATGAAATCGAAAAAGCACATAAATCTACTGAAAAAGGATTGACAGAAGCGCCCGGCTGCCTATCCTCAAACGACGAATATGAATCTGAAATCTGCTTCTGAAAGGTTGTGTGGTTGCGCTGCACGAATGGTTGCGTTACAAACTATGGCTCCGTAACAAAATGTAGATATTGTAACGTGGTAACTTTCCGTTTCAGGATTTTTCTTCTGAAACACCTATTGGTGTACGTATATTCAGATTTTATTGACTAATATAAGAACGCTTCTTTGAAATCTATCGTTTCTTACTGTAGTTGATAGAAATTTTAGCCCCAAAGATTAAGTCACATGAATGTTTTGGAAAAACACTGCTATTATTTTTCAGTGATCCGAATCACTCTTATTTGTTTACATCTCAGGAGTATTAAGATGAACTAATTTTCATATATATATATATATATATATATATATATATATATATATATATATATATATATAATGAACTCAGTGTTCATACTTGAGTTGATTCAATAATTAGCTCAAGTATATTCAGTCCATCGCAAAAGAAGGTATACTACATATTCGCTGCTTGAATAGTCACTAGTATGAGTATCTATCTTTTCTCGATAAAATTGTAATCGGCGTAAACGCAACTGACGAGCAAAATAGGTGTTGAAAAATATCATTCTCGAGGTTGATATTTTGAGGCATCCAACCAATTTTACGTTTATCTAAACTATATTAGTGTAATGATAGATAGATTACTGGTAATGTTTACTGAATAATCTACGGTGACCCAGACGACAGCCAAGAGCACACTGACTTTTGGAGTGGCTCTCATGATGTCCCCTTGAACAGCATCGAAGGCTCTCTGTCATGCAGTGACAGCCAATCTCCTCCTGCAGGATCATGACAGCGAGGTTCAACTCAAAAGGGAAGAAAATCAATCATACAATGTCACGCCATGCACCTACAAACAATGCAGATCAAGAGAAGAATGTGGGATTCTACAGACAACTGTAATCAGTACTGGACAAGACCACACTCCAGATGGTGACGTCAAAATTATAATGGGTAACATAAATGCTAAACTGGGAGCAGACAGCACAGGAAGAGAACTCATCATGGGTCGAGAAGCACTCTGTGAACCGAATGAGAATGGAGAACTGTTCTCAGACCTCTGCGCATTCAACGATTTGGTGATTGGAGGCAGTGTGTACAAGCGCAAGGACATTCACATGGCAGTAACATGGATTTCACCAGATGGACACACTAAGGATCAGATCGACTTCATTTCAATGTGAAGAAGGTGGAGACAGCCTACTGGACACAAGATCAGATCACGAAGAGAAGCAGACGTAGGTTCACACCACCCTCTATGTAGTGCAAGGAACCTTCGAAATTAAGTTGAAAGCCTTCAAAGAAGCTGATGATCGACCACAGTCCAAGTTCAATACCCAGAGCAGAAACTGAAGGACTAAACTACAAGGACATCTTCACGTAAGCCATCAGAGAAAGAGATGGGAGAAATTAAGCAGCATCCCTGAAGAAACCTGCCTTGAGGAAGACCGGAACTCTTTGAAAGAGACGTGGAAGGAAACCTGCATGTCCGTGTTGGGAGGGAAGAAGAAGAAGAGGCAGGGTAAGGAATGGATTTTGACGGACACATGGGAGCTGACAGAGGAGAGGAAGATGGTGAAGCAGAAGATGAACCAGTGTGGTGCAGTGCAGGGGTGAACAACGAAAAGAAGGACTGAATACAACCTATAAAACCCTACATTGGACAAAGAGGTGAGGAAAGGTGCGTGCAAAGACAAAAGACACTTCCACGACACACCTGCAAATGAAGCAGAACAGGCTGGAGGTGGGAGAGATAGAGACCTGACAACACTACACCAAATAACCAGGTTAGGGTTAAGGAAGAGATCAACACAGATGACACCAATGAAAGATAGTGAAAGGAAGCTAGTTACCAAAGTGGAGGAAGAAAGAAAGCGATGGGCTGTCCACTTCAAAAATATCTGGAATCGCCCACCATCTGCAACTCGTCCAGACGTACCTCCACCACCCCAGCCACAGAATTACCAGTGAACACAAGCCCTCCGACAACAGCAGAAGTGATATCCTGGACGCCATTAAGCTGTTGAAATGCGGGAAAGCAGCAGGACCATATGGAATCCCTCCAGAATCACTGGAAGCAGATGCAGACATCGGTGGACATGCTCACACCACTATTGCAGGAGCTTTGAGAGGAGGGAAGGAAGGAAAGGGCCGCATCATTCTGAATGCTCTGCATTCAAAATTACGACCGAAACAGGCTGTCTGACTTCAGGAAGAACAAGTCACGTGGGGATCAAATTGCGACTACATTATGCTACGCATCATCATAGAACGGAGCATGGAATGGCAGTCAACTCTCTACCTCGACTTCATCGAATTTGAAGAGGCCTTCGATAGCGTCGACTGAGAAGTAATTTGGTAGCTGCTTCAACACCGCTGTTTTGGTGCCACAAACCTTTATCAGCCTCATCCAACAGCTATATGCTGTATGGTGTTACATGCCAAGTGATTGTTAATGGAAAGCTCAGTGACGCATTTAAAGTAAAGACAGTGGACAGGAATAAGACAAGGTTGCCTAGTATCACCGATGATCTTCCTGATTGTGGTCGACTAGACTGAACTGGATCATGCAACAAACTATGAGGAGGGAGAAGAGGGGCATGCACTGACTGGAGCGATGAAAAGACCTTAGAAGATTTGGATTTCGTTGAGGATGACTTATGTCGCACAGACTCAAAGATCTACAGGCAAAAACTAACACGTCGACGGAAGAGGCCAGGCAGCGAAGGAAGACGGGACTTCCTTCGGGTGAACGTAGAGAAGACAGAGGTGATGAAGATATTCACTATGAACGGGAGGAATCGAAAGAAAGTTGTATCTTCCAGCTACCTTACTTACCTAGGCAGCATCGTTTCAACTACAGGCGGCGACACAGAGGAGGACATCAAAGCCGGGATCAGAAAAGCAGGACAGGCCTTCGTTAGCCTAAAACCAGTGTGGAGATCTACTCCACTTCACTCATCATAAACAACAAGACCCAGATTTTTAACACTAATGTTTAGTCCGTGCTTCTACATGGTTGAGAGACTTGGCGCGTCACGAGAAGCATTCCCAACAAACTTCAGACATACATGAACAGCTGCTGCCTACGCTCAATACTGAAGATCAGATGACCAGGATGATGAGAATAAGCAACAAGGAACTCTGGGTGGCAACGAACTAACCGAGAACCCACCGCCCGAGAAATATGCAGAGGAAGGTGGAGATGAATTGGATTGGGCACACACTGCAAAGACGGTTTGGGGACATCACGCACCACGCTCTCGAGTTGAACCCAAAGGGGAAACGACAAGTTGGGCATTCGATGGTGACATGGAGGAGGAAATGAAAGGTTATTGGCAGCCGTGGAGCCAGGTTGAAAAGACTGGAGAGAAGAGAGTGAAGTGGTGGAGTGCTAGTGAAGCCCGTATATTGCACTCGGAACCTAGAGGACAAGTATTTAAATAATAATAGTAATAATAATAATGTATCTAGAAATGTTATTTTAGTGTTAATCACTGAAAGATTTGAAGTATGTGTTAGTTACTGAAGAGTATAACGACTCACATGGTCAGCGAAGTGTGTATTGTGGTTGATGATATGAACGCGTAAAATGACTTTTACTCATGAAGAATAATTGTCTCTTTTATTGCTATGGATATTCCCAGTTTTTCTTTTTGATGTAATTTTTTAAGTTTTCAGAGGCTCTTTGACTGCTTGGAGTTCTGGACGATGATTTTAATTTTTTTTTAAAGAATTGCAAACTAGGTTAAGTTTTAAATGAGTTTAGTGAAGGTTCGAGATTCCAAAGCATTCTTCCTCATCTTTCAAGCACAAATCGATACTTCAGCACTCGTTTGTAACCGCAATTGACTATAGTATACGACTAGTATGTAACACTGTGAAGTGGTATACACTTTTTATATCGATGTTTATGCTACTTCGTTACCACAACCATTTTAGTTAAGGCGGGATTCAAACCTGTATCCTATTTGTTGAAAGTCAGTTGGCTCGATCAGTGAACCTCAGAGTTTATCCATCAGATATCCAGTCTCTGCCATATTCTGTGATATAGACATCTGTCAGTCAGGAGATGGCATTTCAAGCCATCAATAGACTTTTTGAGATTACAAGACGACATGCGTGTTGGATACTCCATATAGCTAAGGTAGATGACTTCTAGCAGGTAGCCAAAATCTATTTAGTACATATATATATATATATATATATATATATATATATATATATATATATATATATATATATATATATATATATATATATATATATATAGTAACTGTCCACTCAGTATAGTCCTACTGATACTACATGCTTTCCCATAATGTCCATATGTAGTACTAATTGTATCAGAAATACTCAAGAAGCTTGTTTTAGCGAAGCATCTTCGTTAAAAATTTTTAACTTTTGACTTACGACTTTAGAAATGAAAGCTCATTCAAGTTCAACGTTACCTCCAGGATCAGTCCTAATACAATCGGGTCAGACCATTCCTCAGAGTGTTAGTATGGCAGCTTTACAAGCTAACAACGTTACAAGTGTTCCACAGAACCTTCAGGTGTGGACTCCATCACCTTCTGGAACTATTACGGTCTCTGGGATAACATCTTCAAGAAATTCTACTAACCTTGTTACCCTCCCTTCTGGACAGACAGTACTGATGGCTAATTTGGTTACAACTGCAACTACAGGATCAATTTCTCTCCCCACATCCTCACTTGCTAAACAACAAATTCAAGTCCCATCAGGTATCCCACCTGGAAGCCCTATTGTTCTATCAAATCCTAATCCTACAGGCCCTCTAGCTACACAACTTACTAATCCCACTGTCATACAAGGTCCAAACGGTCCAATGTCAATGGCCTTACCAGGAGGGATAATAAGTAACAATGCACTGAACTCATTTAATAACCCTTCAAACGCCTTTGTCCCTAATCCTATGGGTAACATGGCTACTGATCAACCTGTACATATTGCCCAAATTATTGACAATCAGTTGCATACAGGAACAGCATGTTTCACCACGAATGCAGGATTTCAGGGGATAGCACCTATGAATCAAGTGATTTTAGATTCTTCAAGTTTTAATCTTGGTGCTGCACAAACACAAAATAAGTTAATTAACATGTCACCAGTTAGACCGCATACACTTGTATCTTCTCCCATGCAACACATTAACGTTGGTAATTCATTCGTTACTGCAGGAAATCTTCCCAGAGGTTTGTCTGTGAGTCTTTCTTCAGATATCGGGATTTCCAGTCAGATTCATCGTTGTCTGAGACAGTTGTTGGTTCTAATACACAAAACTTGTCTATTCAAGAAACCGCAGGATATTCCGTTCAAGATGATAGTTCATTGGTCATACAAAATAGTACGTCTACTATACCATCGAGCAATACAACTTTGCCTGAAATACCTTGCTCAACGGAGGATAGTCAAACAAATATTGAATCCAAGTGTGTTGTTGGTGAACAGACTAACTCAATGTTTACATCAAGTTCCTTGTCTGAGTTATTAACTGAGTTTGAACCACACTTACAACTAGATCATGATGTTGAAGAGGTCAGTGTTTTATTGTTTTATGAAAAACTATGAATTAATACTCATATGCAAATCGATTTATGCAGTAATGAACTGTAGTCTATTAGTCTAGGTACTCAAATTTCAACCTTTTTATTATGAATTCAAAGCCAGGTTAGGCTATTAGATAAAATCATCATTCTTATACAACAGATGTGGCTGATTTCATAGTGCATGAATGTGGATTTCATTGATGAATTACAGTTTAATTGTACATGCACCGGTAGTCAAGAGGCAAGCTTGTTGACTCAACAGCCGTAACTACTCCTTGCTTACTCAAAATGCTTTGAAATATACCTGTGTGAAGTTGAGTAGTTAACATAGCTTAAATTTATTGTTAAGATAATTTTTATATAAGTAAGACGCTATTTGAGGTCATGTACTAGGTGAATTCTCTTGATGATTGAGTCATTTATTCATCTACTTCAAACAGACATTTTTTTCAATCAGAATTTGTCGACGCTTCCTTCCTCTTAAGGTTATCGTTCTAAGCAATTGGTTCTTCAACATAATGGTTAGGTTGTGTCGTAATTATTCAACCAAATGAATAATTGGCAACGATTATTTGAACGTCATAATGCTGGTGATAATTGTGGTAGTTGTATATAATTTAAATACTTCATCAATCTATCGTAATTCTTAGTCGTACTATTAATCATAAATTTGTAAACTAACCTATCTACAATTCGCATTTAATTGGTAATAGAGTAGAACAATACCACTGAAAAAGAGTTTCTATGCAACGCTAGTGATATATATGAAGGCTTTTACGAAATATGGATGCAGTTCAACTATTTAGAACAGGTCTCATGTACTAGACCACGTGCTAAACCGACTACTTGTGAGATTATCTTGCTACTCAGTTGTCAAGATTCAAATAGGTAAAGCAGCTTTTACAACCCTTAACTTACTCATTCAAAGATGAATGCCTAATCAATGAACGACAACTCTACATATAGGCTAGGAAACCAAGCTATGCTAGGATAATGAGCTTCACAAAGTTAATGTTTATTGCCGTTTCACCATGCTAATACTGATGAAAACAGAAGTGAATTGTTATACGAACTTATCTTATTGTCTGCTGACACAGTTAAGCCAATTCTTATGAATGTAAACATTATGCCGCTCCGAATGGTTAAAAGTTTTTGTTAAGTGGTTGGAAGCAACCGGTATGTAGCCTCGGATTTAGGTTTCATGTTTCTTGTCACTAGAGGAACTAGTGGTTGGAGACTCTAGGGAATGTGGCTCAGAACCGATGTCAGTGGCGCAGATGTATGCACACATTATCCTCATCTTAACGACGCTATACCGAATCTCACCATTTTGTCATTCCTCCTTTCTTTCTTCTCATACTTTATATTTCTTTTGACTGCATTCCCTTATCTTCATCTTGCGCCTCACTACCTTTTTACTTGATATACTGTACTGAGCTGTGGCAACTCGGACTGTTACGCAGTAACGCCTGGTCCTTTGTTGATTGATTTGTTTCTTGTCACTGGGGCGTAACCAATTTTATGTTTTCAAGTTGTAATTACTGACCGAGTTTTACCAATCATTTTATAATGTGATTACCAAACTAGGCAACTCAGTACTTTAAATGATTGTAGATGGTTAGAGGCAGTCGACTGATAACTCTGAACCTAATTTTGCACTTGTTGGCCCCCATCAGAAAGGTGTACCTGCAACTTCAAAGGGACCGATGTTAGATGGGACAGGTACATCAAAGCGGAACTTCGCATAAAAGTGCGTCGGTTCAAGTTGTTACACTTCACAGCACCATGCAAAGAACAACTGGATCGAACGGAAGTGATATTGAGCTAGAAAAAAGTGTGTGGAACGAGATAAAACTTAAAACAGTGAAGGTCGGTAAAAACGTTCAAACTTGAGATGGGGTCAAATAGGGAATATGACGAAACTATCGTCAGCGGTTTCCAGCCATTTCAGCAAGTGTCTGCAGCCATTAGTTCCTATTATCTCCAGGACTCCAGCCAGCTAATCTACGCCTTTGTAGACCCGTCCATACCAACAGTCAGTGACTTCATGGGAAAGCGCCACCTCTTAGTCTGTTCACTCAGTTTTCTTCTAAGTCAGTGCTACTTGACCAACTTTTCATGTCGAAGTACGTAGTGATAGGTTGGTATGCGCAACATATTTCGAAGCCACCCAAATTGGCGAAGGTTCACAACTTCATCGACTGACTTTGCTGCCTTTCCTAGTACCCTTCGCCTTACATTGATGTTGCTCACAAAATGATTCCGCAACACGCAAATAATGCTAAAAATACATCTGTGGTCGAAAACCTCTGATTTTTCGACACCTCTTGTTGTGTCCATGTCAAAGCCGTATAGTAGGAAAAATCGGAGTGCAGTATATTGAACCTGTTACTCGATAGCTGAATACCTCAGACGCCAAAAATGATTTGTCAAATAGCAGACGGGCCATTTTTATCCGAATTCAGATTTCGTGAGTAACCAAAGCATTTAGAATGATGCATCCCTCCAAGTGAGTGAAGTGGTCAACGTATTCCACCACTTTATTCTGAAACTGGGAGTAGTTGAAGACCTGTCGTGAAGTATCACCTTACATGTGAAAAATGCGAGTGAGACGCATTTCAAACATACTCAGATTTGTACTTTAAGGCGTTCTGAAGACTGCGTTTTGCAGGCGTTTTCTCGTAACAGGACTGTGTTATCTGTGTATTTTGAGAGAATTGAGTGCCTTCGCGAGAGTGAGAGTTGAAGTCACCTAAGGTTACTTTGGTTATTTCGTCTACGATGAAATTAAGCGGGAATGATGACAATAAACATCACTGGGAGATACCACCAGTCGTCCGCACTTTGGACGACAGCTCTGTGTGAGTTGGAATAGAGAGCTTTGATTAACTTCACATACTTGTTCGGTACTGGCTCTACAGTCAAACACTATTAAAACACATCTTGTTCGACAGAATTAAATGCTGCTTTGAAGTCAAGACTTACAGCAAGTGTCAGTGACTGTTAAATATGCTTGTGCTTTCAGGACTAGATAGGTCTATCCCGGTACAGGTCTGAAACATGCTTGGTTTTCTCGGGTGCTTTGTTTCCGAGTTAAGTTTAGGCATCAGATAAGTATGGACCGTATGTTTTATAATCGATGTCAGTCAAACTGATTACCTTGTGGTTTTCACATGAAGACTTCTCTCCATGACCATAGACTGGAATGATAAACGAGTTAAGCCGGTCTGACGAGGCTAATTCTCACTCACATACGTTTGGTATTACCTCCGTTACTCTACTCAATAATTATCCGCTTCCTTTTTAATGACTGCTGATGGTAGAAGTCACGTTCTTCTGCTTCGCATCGTTTCAAGTTCGAAACACTCTTTTCAGTTTCAACGAGGATTATAAGACCAAAATTACATCCCATTGAGGTTTCACTTGGCAGTCATCTGTGCGCTTTTTGACTGCACGGTGCAGTGAAAACGGAAAAGAACTGTGGAACTTGCTGTAGTCTCTTTTTTCTTATCTCTGATTATGCATCCACTGACTGCAGTTTATATAAAATGGAGATGGCTTCCATCCAAAAAACTGTCTAACCTTCACTGAAAGCGAAACACTCAGATGTGATTGTCATAGCAGTTGATTTCAGTGCACTAGTGGGTAAAGGCTAAGACAAGCAAAAAGGCGATTAGTTAGCACTTTCAGAATCATATTCGAACCGACTTAACGGGAGATCATCCACTGTATTTGTCCTCATACAACCCTCTATTTATAATCATCATGATATTCAGACGTAAAAAGAAACATTAGTTGACGTGGTGTCCACAGGGTCATGTGTTACGTATGTCTAGTCACCGTCTCTCTCGTCGAGGAATGTAAGTGAAGTAGGTCCAAGCTGGAAAAAAAGTGAGGGGTGACGAGACTAAGACATAGCATCAGTCATTGAAGTCTATGACTTAGTTTAAGTTTTGTAAGGAAGTGTAGACTAGCCGGTTTCAGTCCACGTGACAACACAAACCAGTGATTAGAGACTAGGTGATATTGTTCATAGTCGATGTCTACCGCAGATGTGTCTACACATTATCTTAACATTAATTATCATGTCGAATCGAACTTCTTGTTCTCCTGTCATAACTTTCTACAGCTTTTGACTACTTTATTCCTTATTTTTCTATCGTTCATTTTAGTGCATTCTCCCTTGATGTGTAGCAACTTAGACCGTTATAGAGTGATGGAAAACACATGTTAATATTGACTAACTTGTGTTCGGGTTGGATACTGGTTAACTGACGCGTAGTTTTAGGCTGGCTGAATTGTTCTTCACAGTGTTCCGATACACATTTTAGCCACTTGGTCTGAGAATTTATCAGGGATTCATCCCTTTCGGCGATGGTTTTCTAATCATCATCGTCTTGTAGCCAGTATCCTTGATAAGCAGAGATCATTACCGAGCATTGCCTAATTCTGGTGCCTTTTACTTCCTTTTTCTCTTTAGCCACTTATTAATTGTAGTGGTTATTGGAAAGACTGTTAGTTAATCTAAGTTTCAACCGCTTTTGCTCCTCATTGTAGCCAGAACAGGTTGGGATGAGTTTTCTTACAGTAATCGGTTCGGATAAGGTTGCCGAAATTCACTGGCCTTCGCTATTTCTCGGGTATACCTTTCTAAGCTTTACCGTTGTTGCTACAGCTTCATCAGTAGGAAAATTGTTGTCACGTCCAGACAAATGCTTCGCTAACTCTTCTCTAAAAATAAGCGATATGTTATTGTCTTCCAGTCTACCACACGAGCTTCACTGCCATCTGTTCCCTGTGCCCATTAAAGCATGGACACTGGCATTTCCATGCTAATGCGGTAGTATCATAGTCGAAGTAGGTACTCCAACAGAGTGACAGTCCTCCACCGATCCTCTTGAATGATGGTTTTTAGAAATATGATGTATTTATGTCCACCGTTGGTTTGATGTTGGCGTAAGCCAAGTAAAACTATCTCTTCTTATACTTCAACTTGGGTTAGGCAGAAACAAGAGGTTATCTAAACAAAATTTTCGAAGATAATCGCAGTTCCCAGTTCCCTCCAACTATCTGATAACAGTCAAAATGCACTGAATCTTCTAGCCTGGTTACCACTACATTACAAAATGATAGATAATGTTCAGTCACCACTTCAAACTAGATAACACGAAATTATTCTTTCTCTAGTGACCAATCACTGTATTTTAAAGGTTGTATAAAATAACTTGGCAAAGTTTTCAATAATTTTCTCTACTGATTTATGAAGATATTACATTGTGTACTGTGTAAGTCTGGAGTTATGCATTGTTTACCTTTGAGAAGTTCATATCGAAAAGGGATGAAGGCAGACACCAGAGTAAGACGTGAGTTGGTCAACATGAAAATCTTTTCTGCCAATCAAGCGATTCTGTCATTTTATAATTATCTTAAAGGTTTAAAGTGTCTGGTCCCTTTGATAAATTTAACCATCATAATGAGAAGATGAGGATTATCTGAAATATGTCGTGATGTATTAACCCTATACACATTTCGAATAATCTGATCACACAAATGGCCTGATCAAACTATTCATCATATGAAAATTTACGAAAACGGTCAGTGAAATCGTCAATAGGAAACATAGAGGAATAGGAAGGGTAGAGAAAAAACACAAACAAAATCTTAATCATGTTACTCTTAGTATGAAAGTTGAAATCAATACTACGAAGGTAGGTATGTTGAACATGAATACAAATTGTTTTTGTTATATGAATGACAAGAGTTTCAATAAATTTAAGCACTTGGTTGTGACCACTTTTATGTAGTACTTTGAAGGTTGTTTTCATGCTTTCCATCCTATGGTTAGTTTCTAGTATATGTTTTAAATGATAGACGATAACGCTGATACAGGATGACTACCCGTTAAAATTTATCGACAGGTGTAAAAGTTATGTATCATTGAAAAGTGTTCAGTATTCCACTACTAAGCAAACTGTCTACAATCTCATTACCATTTAGTGGTGATTGATTCACATAGCTTTGTTGTGAAGAAAAGACTTAAATCAGCCATCTGTAAAACATATTATGCAACCAAGGTTATCAACTATAGAGAAGACAAAGTCCATGTTACAGCACAAACCAAAACAATATATAAACGATTATATCCCACATCCCACTGTGTTTATCAATTTACATGTATATGTGTATACACATACATACGGAGGATATTCAGTTGAGAAGGAAAGTTGAATATATACCGAATGCTTCAGAAACAAATGACCTCAACAGTCCGATAAGTACAGGTGACAAATATCCATCTTCATCTATCATTTAAACATATACTAGAAACTAACCATAGGATGGAAAGCATGAAAACAACCTTCAAAGTACTACATAAAAGTGGTCACAGCAAGTGCTTAAATTTATTGAAACTCTTGTCATTCATATAACAAAAACAATTTGTACTCATGTTCAACATACCTACCTTCGTAGTATTGATTTCAATTTTCATACTAAGAGTAACATGATTAAGATTTTGTTTGTGTTTTTTCTCTACCCTTCCTATTCCTCTATGTTTCCTATTGACTATTTCACTGACCGTTTTCGTAAATTTTCATATGATGAATAGTTTGACAAGTTCATGTATGTGATTGAGAAACTTGGCACGTTACGAAAGGCATTTCCAATAAACTACAGATATTCATCACCAGCTGCCTACCATCGGTACTGAATATCAAATGACCAGAAATAATAACAATAAGGAATTCTGGGAACAAACTAACCAACAACCTATGGGCGATAAATATGCAGTAGAGGAAAGTGTAGATGGATTAGATTGGGCATACACTGAGAAGATCGATTGGGGACATCACACCTCAGGCCCTTCAGTGGAAGCTGAAGGAGAAAGGACAAGTTGGGCATCCAGTTGACGGTGACATGGAGGAGATCATGTGAGGGAGAATTGAAAGCTTGTGGACAGTGGTGGGCCAGGTTGAAAAGACTGCAGAGAAGAGAGTGGAATGGCGGCATGCTACTGAAGTCATAGGTTCACTAGAAACCCAAGGACAAGTAATAATAATAATGTGTGATCAGATTGTTCGAAATGTGTGTAGCGTTAATATATCACCTTATGTTTCAGATAATCTGATTACGCTGTTTAAATGTATCTTAAAGATGTCATTTATTGACTCAGTTGAATTAGACTGAAAAATTTCGCATTATGTTATAGTTGTGTTGATTATCGGAAGAGTATGATTAGAATATTTCTTTTCAGAAAAAACCATTTTGGTAGTGAACACAAATTTTCAAAATGCATAGAAATAATTTATTGTGGTTTTAAATTTACTAAACAACTAATAAATGCTCATATTATGTAGCTTTTTAAGATATTCACTTCATTTCATGTAAACAATGGAATTCAGTCTCAGAAAGGGTTGCTATTCTAATTGTCTTTTATTCATGTGTAAATGCGTGGATCATTTCAATAAGACTTCTCTATCCATCCAGATCAACCTAGGACCAGCATTACTGCGTAACAGTCCGAGTTGCCACACCTCATATCAGTACATCAAGTAAAAAGGCAATGAGGCACAAGATGAAGATAAGACAATGCAGTCAGAAGAAATATAAAGTACGAAAAGAGAGAAAGGAAGAATGAGAAATGCTGAGGTTCTGTATAGCGTTGTTAAGATGAGGATAATGTGTGTGTGTGTGTATACATCTGCGCCACTGACATCGGTTCTGAGCCATATCACCTGGAGTCTCCAATCACTAGTTTCTCTCGTCCCGCACATCCTTACCACCTATTCTGCATCGCCCCACATGGCTCAAACCAGCAGCCAGAGACTTCATGCATTGGTGCCATGTTTTAGTCTGACCGCTCTTTCTCGCCTTTTTCCAGCCTGGACCTACTTCAGCCAACATTGTATGACGAGGCAGACGGCGACTAGGCATACGTAACACATGTCAGAGTCAACCATATCAGTCGATGAAGGTTCACAACCTCGTCAACAGACTTACCTCTTCTCCCTAAAACTCTACTCCTGACTTCTGCATTACTCATGTGGTGACACCACTGAATATGGCCTGTACTACAAAGGCAGTGATGGTCAAACACTTGAAGCGTTCTCATGTATTCCACCTTCAGTGGCCATGTTTCACAGCCATAGAGTAAAACAGAGTGGACTTCCTGTGCAGTATACGCGACCCTTAGTAGACAGTCGGATATCACGGCAGCGCCATAGTTGGCGAAAGCCAATAGAGCCTTTTGTATTTGTGCAGAGATTTCACCGGCCACTGAGCCATCAGGGCTGATCCTACATCCCAGATAAGTGAAGTGGTCAACACACTCAACCACTTCCTTTTGACGAAGTCAAAATAATACTTCTTCTCTTCTGTGTGTTGATGTATTCTTTCTTTTATTTTATAGGTTATGACAAATTTAGCTAATGAATTTATTGTGAACTGTGCAGAAAAAGCTCAGAAACTTGCTTCACACAGAGGTTCATCAAGTGTTGAAGGGAAAGATGTTGCATTTTGTATGGGTAAGTTAAGCTGTATATCATTTTTAGACAATACACTACTCCAGTTCAAAGGTTGATGGGGATTTATTTACTGATTTCAAGTTAATATTCTTCATACAATGATATCACCCATGTACCTCGCTGTGGGTTGAACCCCAGGATCTTCAGGTCTTGTGGCTACCATGTTCCTATTGAAATACTGGTTGACATTTTTCTACTTTTGTGAGTTGGCGATATATGGCAACCCTTTTGGGGGAGTTGATAAGCATCTACACGTACTCCACTCGTCATCTACTCTTATCTTCTTTCCTGGTATTGCGGATTTCATAAAGAAGAAGTGTTTATATGCTTAACAAAGTTTAGTGAATATAATATTTGATACCATGAATATCGTTATGCACTCAGCAACCACATGTACACTCATCTAGTAGACAGTTGACCACAAAAAAGATGTGACAACTAATAATACTGCCCGACTCTCCAGACTTCGGTTAGTGAGGAGGGATTCGAACCCATGACCCATCCATCGGCAATGAGCTACAGCACTTTGGTAGAGTATAATTTCATATCAGATTGTTTATTTGATATAGCACACAGTGTGTGTGATACAGTAAATATTACTGGATGACATTTTGAGTAGAATCGATTGCTCATATTCATATCAGAGTAATCGTATGACTTTTTAAACTTTTACATCATATATTTACCAACAGTACTTCATTCTTTGAATTTTGAGGGAGTTGTAGGGATTTGCAAATATTTCAATTTGTTATTCATCGTAGACTGGCATCAGTTGGAGGAACAAAGGAAACCTGGGAGCACTGGACAACCAAATGTTTCGTCCCAGTATGGGACTCCTCAGCAGTGCGCACCCACGACACCGCCAGGGGTTTCTGAGGAGTCCCATACTAGGACGCAACAGCTGTCCAGTGCTCCCAAGTTTCCTTCGTTCCTCCAACTGATGTCAGTCTATGATGAATAAAAACTTGAAGTTCTTCATTCTGTAATTTTAATGGTAGTGAAATTTCCCGGATATCTTTAATATGTGATGAATCATTTCTTTTATATGTATTGCATGTTGATTCAATGAACAAAGATCCTATGATCAGTCTCTCTTTCCATCTGGAGTTATATTTGATTCTAGAATTTTCACCCTGTTCAACTCTAATAATGGGTCAGTACATGCGGAGCGATAGCTGAGTTTTCCTCTTAATTACTTACCTTAGCACAGTTTATCATTGTGTGTTTCGGTAAATTTTTCTGCTCCGCTCTTCTGATTGATCCAGATCAGCTGCTTTGACCTATATACTTGACCTAACAATCATTACAACATGCTATTCGATAGATTAGATTATTTTGCTTAATTAGCTTCCACTGGATTATTTTAGCCTACAAAACTTCACTCTGAATAAGTTTGTGGGTTTATATATTCCACCCTAATCCCAATCAGCATTGTTCAGAATTCTATGAAAATTTCCAGTCTCAAATGTAAAGTAATACTTCTCTTCACTTCCACTGCTAGACACCTATTCTAGCATAAAACTTTCCCTTATTAGCTGAAATCGGTGTAAATAAAGATAGTTTTGAGTGGATTTTTCTCAAATTATAATTTGAAAAAAGTTATCTTACAAGGGGATTTATAAAAATTCCCCTGATCACTTTCAGTATGCCTTTTTGTCATGTACTAAGGTTGCATTGACATAATTTTGAAATGTCTTAGCAATACACCATGCAGATCAAATCATTTCATATGTACTACAGACAGGTGTAGTTTGGCTACTCGAGACTAGTTTTCGCTGTGTTTTGGTCTTATTTTCAACCTTATCTTAGGACAGGACTTCGGTGATATTCACATTTTCTCGGGCTTGCTGTTTCCGAGCTCCTATCAGGCATTGAAAAATTATAGAATCTAGGATCTTGGACACTATGTTCGTCAGGCTGGTTCCTCTATGGTTATCATAAGAGGACTTCTCGCCTTTCGTGAAGACTGGGGTAATCAGTGATTTAGACCAGTTAGAGGGGATAGTATTTGATCCGCATATACTGGTTAACACTTCTGTTAACCTGACTAAGAGCACCTTACCACCATCCTTGTTTACCTCTGGAGTTAGTCCATCTGGTTCTGCCCCTCTTCCTCCTTTCAGGTTACCTGCAGCTTCCTCGACTTCTGTTAGTGTTGGGTGACCTATCTCAATGTTCCATTCAGGATTATATAGTCCAATAGTTCTTCGTTTTGTTTATCTTCAAGATAGTAAAAATTTTCAAACATTTCGAAACGTCATCTAGCGGGTGTGGTTGTAAAATCCATATGATGATAATCTAATTTCACCAGGATCTGTGTAAGTCAACGAAAAAGTGTAGTGAAGGTGTAGCTACCTACCTTTATTAATACTCAGTGGTGTTCATCAAATTATGTATGTTTCGCCTATTCTAATAACTATATAAACTGTATGACTGTTAAGTGTCATCCAAAGCACTTAGATAAATATAAATTCACTTACATTACGTAATGTTTATGTCACTCCTGGTTGCAGCTATTCTGAATTATCTAGTATTCGCTGACAAATCCACGGAATTTTTGCTGCGCCGATTATGTCTGGTTCATTGTCTATTATCTGTGGTGATTTTAACTCTTTTGATTGCAGTTTCCTATATTCTCTTAGTCACAGTAACCTAGTCAATTTTTCAACTCGTTTTAACATCACATTAGACTTGATCTTCGTAAATAAACCCATGATCTTCCTGATTGAGGTGGGCTAGATCTTGCAGCAAACTGTGAGGAGTGAGAAGAGGGGCATACGTTGGGCCGATAAAAAGAGCCTAGGAGATTTGGATTTCTCCGATGGTGATTTATGTCTAATGTTGCACAAACTCGAAGATCTACAGGCGAAAACTAACAGGTTGACAGAAGAGGCAGGGCAGCGAAAACGGGACTTCAAGTGAGTGTAGAGAAGACAAAGGTGATGAAGATACCTAACCAGCCAACAACAATCACCATTAATGGGAGAAACTAAAAGGAAGTAGTCTCTAGGTAGCATCATTTCAACTACGGATGGCACAGATGAGGGTGTCAAAGCCAGGATAGGAAAGACAGCAAGACAGGATTTCATTAACCTGAAATCAGTGTGTAAATCTACTGCACTCAGCATGTGGAACAAGATCCGGATTTCCAACACCAACCTCAAGTCAATGCTTCTATATGGTTCAGAAACTTTGTGCGTCACGAAAAGCACTTTCAACAAACTACAAACATTCATCAACAGCTGCCTACGCTGGCCGGTTGCTGAAGATCAGATGGCCAGAAAGAATAAGCAACAAGGAACTCTGGGAAAGAACCAACGAAGCAAGAACCTATCACCCAACAAGTATTCAGTAGAAGAAAGTGGAGATGAATTAGATTTGGCATACACTGAGAAGAAGGTTTTGGGGGACATCACTCCCCAGGCCAGGGTGAGTAGAATCCAAATGGTAAACGATGAGTTGGGCATTCCAGCTGAGGGTGACATGGAGGAGATCGTGTGAGGAAGGAATAAAAAGTTGTGGACCCAGATTGAAAAGACTGCAGAGAAGAGAGTGGAATGGAAGCATGTTACTGAAGCCCTTACTAGGAACCCAAGGGAAAAATAATCAACTATAGTAATTTGAAACTTTGAATTGTGCACCACTTTTAAGCTTAGATTACACTGTATTATACGTGTTCTAGCAAAAATGTATGGCAAATTGCAGAAAACTACTTTTAAATATCAATCTAAGTAGACTGTACATAGAACTTTTACATATGACAACATCTAATAAACTCAGATGTATGTTACAGAATGTAGATTGGGAAATATTTGAAAATGATACTCTTGAAGATACAATTGATACTGTTACATGTTATCTTAAATTTTACTTCCAAGTTAAAATAATCTTTCTAAGGTTTAATAAACTTTCTTTGCATTTAAAATGGTTGAAAGAAGATAAAGAAAAACTGTACAAATCAATGAAATTCAATGAAAACAGATCTGTTCAAATGTCTAAAATCATTAAAGCTTTCTCTCAATATCCCGGACCATCTTTTCTTTTCATGAAATATGCTGATATTCTATGTCATCCACTTATGAATCTTTGGATAGAAATGAAATACCAACCATCTGGAAATAAATTAAAATAGTTCCGATACTTAAGTCTACATCTTTTGGAGCTTAAGTGAAATTCCTACGGATCGCAATAACCTCATGATTCGCAAAAGTAATAGAGAAACTGTTACTTCATGCGCTTGTGAACCTGCTTCGAAGGCTTTCAGAGATGCAAATCGATTTTCCTACAAACCCAGAAGGAGTACCTTAGATGGTGCAGTTGTTTTACATCATAATATTATTACCAGTCTAGATAAATGTGCTAAGTATGTTAGATCTAGCTTCTTAGATCATACTTCTGCCTTTGACTCTATCCCTAGACCCCTCTTATTAAAAAATTTACCCAGTACTCACATTGAGTCCTGAATTGTAAACTAGCTTGATTCATATTTTCTGAGAGAAGGCGGTACACTCTATATATAGGGGGACGCTCTACTTTGCTGCTTAGTGAAACTGGTGTGCCTCAAGGTGCTGTTCTTTCTCCTTTCTTTTAGCATGAATTACCAACCCCAACTTTGTTAAGTATGCTGGTGACATGACAGTCTCTATACCGATCATCTCCTCTACTGATTGTTCTCAGTTTAATAACTTCTTATCCGAAATTGGTTACTGGTCTTCCTTAAATGGTATCTCACTCAATCCCTCCAAATGTTAGATGGTTAGTTTTAGCTTAAGATATGAAAAAGACCTTTGTATATTACTTCAGTCTCATGACTCTTGTCTTATATATAGATGACTCTGTTATAGAGAATGTAGCAAGCGTGATCCATCTTAGCTTATATTTTTCTTCCGGTCTCTCTCTGGTTACCCCTATGTCTTACTGATTTCTAGGAAAATCATTCGCTTGACCTTTTATATTAGGAAACTTAGCCCCCTACTCTCATGTTTAATTAATTTGTGTTTTACACATACTTACTTATTGTTCTCCTTTATTCTTTCCTGAACTCTGAAAAGAAGACTACGTTGTGTTGCATAGGATTTTGAAGGCTGTTAGAAAGCAAGTAATACACCCCTAACCGAGCTGATAAATGCAGTTGTGGATAGGTATTTAAACTCTTATCCACTACCGGCTAACAATATTTTATCTGATGACAAGCATCTTATTCATCCTTGCCTCTCTCCGTGTCTGTCATCTGGGAAGATAAGAAGCAAATATATTAAACTCTATGCACGAATAAAACAACATACAAAAAGTCAACCATGACCGTTTATTTACCTTGTGTATTATGTGGGGAAAATCATGTTAGACTATAGTCTTATCAATGAGCTGCGTAATAGCGAACAGTTATCATGTCCTTGAAATTATTCAACATTTCAATAATCCTGTTATATTGTTAAACAGCAGCATTGTTAATACATTGAATATTCCCATTCAGACATTTAGAAGAAGACTGATTGAACGAAGAAGTATAATCCCTTTTCAATTAGGTCCTCTTCTGGGGCCCTACACTAATATGCTATAGGTTTACAATCTAGTCAAATTACCAATCATGTGGTGATGTTTCAGAAATAATGATGTAAATAATCTATAAGGTTACTGAAATAGGAAATATGAATATTGATAGAAACAAGGGGAAGGGGAAGATGTGTACAAAGTAAACCTAGAAGTTACATCATATTGACGGCCATGGTAATGAAAGTGGTCGAATAAACCTCTTTTGAATACAAAGGTTAGATGTGTTTGTACAGGTAGGTGGATTGTAATCGCCTTTGCTATGTGAAGTAACCGAGTGCGTAATCCATGAGGTAAATTAATTACAATCTGATGGATAATTTTGAAGGCTTTCCCAGTAACCACTTGATGTCCTGTGTCAACTAAATGTGCAAGTATGGAGCTCTTTATAGTTCTAATTTATCGCTTGTTCAACCATGATGGGTGGTGCTCAGAAATTCGACGATGGAACTGCCTCATTGTACACCCAATGTAACTAGCTCCATAGGAGCAGTTGAATTGATAAATGCACATAGAAGTGGCAGAATCAGGCAGTTTGTTTTATTTCTTGCACCTAAATCGGGCGGTTGTAGAAGGCGGGACATAATTTAGCGACTGGGAATGCTTTATGCAAGACTCTTTTTATGCGTTGTATGATGATCTCACTGGCATATCACTCTTAAGTTCCAGCTTCAAGAAGATTTGCATCTTAGGAAACTGTTGGCATTGTTGTCTTAACCCTCGTAATATTCATATGCTTAGTTACAAACTTGTCTGGGTAGCCATTCCTACTAAGCAGATCATGGATGATACAATGGGTAAATTGATGTGGTAACTAACACATGCTGAGAATTCTGTACTGTAAAATATAATTATGGTGTGGAATAAAAAAATATATGATTATCATTAAGTTATCTGTGAAAGAAAACATCATCATGAGTTGCTAGCAGATGTCTATCTTGGTGATAGATGGCGGTGATGCATCACAATGTCTTACTGCTTCACATATGGCTACACTCCAAAACGTTTTTGATTAACTTCACTAAGTCGTAAACATTAAGAGCTAAACAGCTAAAATGCCTTACACACTCGTGACCATCAATTTTTATTGAATTCTGAATCGACACCATTATTCTGGATTCGATGGTTGACTTCTGTTCGTAGATAGGCTGGTAGTATATGGATACCTCGATATTGCTTTATCTTATAGTTTTACACAGTGATGACTAGTAGTGGAATTCAGAACGCGCGTTTCCTTCTATTCAAAACTTATCATAATACAATGAATAAACAAACAATATGCAAGCGTCCATATACCCAAAAATATCGATCTAAAATAGCAAGTAGTTATAGTTCTCTTGACCCGATAGATAACGCTTTAATGTTTAAAGCAATGGGTGTTAGGTTCACTCACTGAGATGCAGGTGTACATCTAACTGGGAAGAGGCCGAAATAGGATGAAACGCTTATCCTAGATATCGCTGCTAACTACAACTAAGCGAATTGCAAGCATCGAATCTGTTCAGTTCTACATAGTAATCATTTATTACTTTAGTTCAATGAATCATACAACGCAAGATAATATGTGTAGATCGTATGTAATAATAACCTTTTTTTTTTCTTTCTATCCTAATGTTGTATAGAACGTGAATGGAATATTGTTGTACCAGGTTTTATTTCTGAAGAACGACCTATGCGTAAAAATTTAACAAGTGAAGCTCATAGACAACGTTTAGCTTTAATGAAGAAACAGATTAAAAAATGTGAGTAATATGTTATAGACAGTGTTGCCTTAATTTCATCTAGTTGATTTGTTATGAACACCCAACGCCACTCACTCACTCCACTTGTGTCTTCCCGATATACCTATCGTTTTCTTGTTAACTTTTACTTTTATAAGTATTATTATTGTAAAGCTTTGGATTAATTCTCCACTCGTTTCTATATGATTCATGATTACGCAATAATCACATGTTATATAAAATTTATTATTGTCCACAAAATCACTTTTATGAATTGTGATGTTTTGTTTTGTTTATCATGTGATTCATTTGTTTGTAAAAGTCAAATTGTAGATATACAAGGATAGAAAGATGTTAGTTATTGCCTTCTATTATACAATAGGTAGTGGAAAAAAGAAAGATTGTTAGACAGAAAGTTGCAAATACCAACCAACTCGTTTTGGTTTCAATTCAGTTGGCGTTAGTCATAGACGAGGGGGAAAACAGAACTACATACTTACACTCCACCGGATTCTGGAACATAGACACACTTATCGTATTTTTCGACCTGAAGTAGACATTCAACTTTGTCGATCGACAGGTCTCTCACTGAAAGGCGTACGAGGTGACTAGACAATTCTTTTGAAGGCTTTTTACTGGAACACCCGTTGGCTTATCAGAACCTGTGTATATTGAATGTTGTGCGTCAAGAATGCCCTCTTTCTCCATTCTTGTTCAGTTTTATCATAGACGTTCTTATAGAGGTCTGCCTCTCAATTTAAGAATATTTGGAGTGCGTTTTTCGCCACCCAAACGCAAATTGTTGCTCCAAGACTGGTGACCTATCTAGCAATAAAGACTGAAGTGATTGACTGCACTGAACACTTGACATAAACTGGGAAGGTAGGTTAGTTGCCAATGAAATCTCTGCAGGAATACAAAAAGGTCAATTTTCCTTCGCCAACTTACACCATCTGTAGCACTGCCTTGACATTCGCTTGCCTATTAGGAGTCGACTTCACTGTGCTGTAGTTCGATCTGTTCCACTGTATGGCTGTGAAACATGGCCATTGAAGGTACAAGATATGAGAAAGCTTGTGGTGTTTGACCACTGTTGCCTTCGTAATATACGCCGTGTGTTGTGGTATCACCATATCAGTAACGCAGAAGTCAGGTGCCGGGTTTTAGTAGAAGAGGAAAGTCAGTTGATAAGGTCGTAAACCTTCATCGATTGAGGTGGCTAGGGCATGTGTTATGCTTGCCTAGTCACCATCTGCCCGGTCGTACAATGTATGTGAATTAAATTCAGGCTGGTAAAAGCGTCGCGGCGGCCATACTAAAAGATGGCATCATTATCATGTTGGGGAGTGGCAACTTGGGCTGTTATGCAGTAACGCCTAGTCATCTGTTCCTATTGATTGATTGTGGGTCAACAGTAAACAAGTGCAGTGATATTCAGACAGTAGTGAGACATGCAACAAGTCACAATCATGTGATAATGTCAAAGTGATATGTTTTGCGGCTACCAGTTCAAACACGTGTTAACAATTCATATCAGTTTAATTTTTCGTTATGACAAATAGTTTAAATCAAACAGATTTGGTTTAAGATGAGAAGTCCTGACTGCACCGACCAATGTGAATACAATCAATGGATAGCAATACGTCACGAATCCGCATGGTAGTCAGGAAAAGCCTTTGGTTGTATCTTAGTTCGTCCAGTATCGGCCGGAGACCTATAAGTTACCGGTTCGAATCCTTCCTGGGCCAGATCTCCATTTCACATTTAATCGTTACCTAATAACAAGTAATTTATATTTTTCAAGTTGTTATTCATCGTACACTGACATCAGCTGGAAGAACAAAGGAAACCTGAGAGCACTGGACAGCTGTTTCGTCCTAGTATGGGATATAAGTGTTACATCATTTATGCTTTGATGGCCATCGGAGTTGATTGAATTTTTCACTTCTCCGCATTCCATGCAAGAATAACTGCCAAAAGCAAGTCTAGCAGGGAAATCACACTTTCATTGACAAAAGTTGTTGTTGAATATGAATTACACATTAAATGTACATCTTAATAATAGCCTCTTTGGGGCACCTTGTCGATATCCTAATTTACTTTAGTGAAGTCGTATAGTAGAACAGACAGTTTTTACTAAAGAAACATTTTTAACAATGAAGTGACATCAACTGATAGCATTGTCACTAAAACTCATTGGATGATGATCAATATGAGAATGATACTAACCCTATGAGAAACTTGAACTGTGTACAAATAGCGACTGTTCTCTCTCAGACGTGATACTTCCTGGAGGCGGTGAAGATCTGTAGATACCAACCTGTGACTGTAAGGAAGACACTTTATAATGCCACAAATTTAAAATAGTAGGTTCCGAGAAATTAAGTCGTATACATCGACGATAAGGTGTGTAGACGTTCATCTGCAGCGTTTTCCAGGATACATTTTATCATTATCATGATTTACATTTCACGTTTTTGTGACTATACGTATACCTACCATAATGTGCTTCGCAGATAAGTTTAGATTGAGCGAGCTAGGAAGGCCTATTGATATCTCACAGACTACAGTTGATGTTCGTTCCACCTTAACAATGACAGCGTTCGTACTATCGGATATTCAGCTCTAAAAAAGTTATACTTACATGCGTAAAGACTTACACTTATCGACAATCGATACCATTATATGATAATAAAGATGGAAGTCTGCTAACACACTTTTATATAAAATTTAGCTTCATTTCCGTACATCTAGTCAAATGGGAAATCAGGGACAAATGTTTGATGCGAAAAGAAAAGACAATGACTGGCAAAATCAACGTAGAACCTTTTAAACAAGTGCATCGGCTTAAATTACCACACTTCACAGAAGGCAACAAACAGCAGGTGGGTTGTGTGAGAGAATACACAAAGGTTAGTGCAAATATTCAAGCTTTAGGTGTCAAGGAGTGAATACATCTGTGCAATTGTGACCAGTTCCCAGCCATGTCACAAACAGTCCTCAACCGCTGATTCACTTCTCGGGCACCCGAATCAGGCACTGCACATCTTCGTACACGGCTCAGGACAATAGTAAAAAACTCCATGGAATGGTGTCAAGTATTGGTCTCGCCACCCTGGATCCCCGTCTTCAACCTAATCTATGTCAAGGTAGGCAGTGACTTGGCATGTGCAGCCCATGTCCAAGCCATCTCGGTCGAATAAGGTTCACAATCTTACCAATCGATTTGCCTAGTACCCTTTACCTGATCTCAACATCGCTCACATGGTGATTCCACAAAATGCGAGCAATGCTACAAAGACATCTGTTATCAACCCTGTAAATGCTTTATGTCTTCTAATTTTAACGGCGATGTCACAGCCGTACAACAGGACAGAATAGAATGCAGCGCAGTATACTCATCCTTTGATAGATACTCTGATATTTCCCCGGTTGGGAAATGCCAAATGGGTCTTCCGTATCCGTATTCGTCAGCAACTAGCCCGTTTAGTCTGATGTAACTCCCCAAGTAAGTGAAGAGGTCGATATATCCTACTACTTCACTCCCTATCATTCAACTGGGAGTCATTGCAGTCCAGTCCTGGAGCATCATCTTACAGTTCACGGGTGCGAAATACATGCCAAACATAAAGAAAAGAAAGGGTACACAGATGTCCACTAATTCTGTGAATGTTCTAATGTTGGAGAATATTTGTAGCTTAGGTGGATGGTCTTGGTTGCATTGTGTTCTCTGAGCTGGGTTGTTTAGTCGTGAAGCTTTTATCATTTCTAGACAGCGACATCATCAGCACTAACTTCAGTATGAAGTGAGCTGTCAATATCTCTCCGTGATTAATTTAGTAGCTTGCTCTGACAATGTGGTCTGTGATTGGTTGTTTCCTTGGTTGTTGTGTCATCGATTGTATAGACTTTCCTGTTGGCTGTTCCTCTGCTTCACCTCTGACCTTTCTGTCGTTTATCATTTTTTTATTGGTTGATAGATCGGGTCTATGTCTATACATCTATTCATTGACTGACATGGATGCCAAGCTTCTAGAAATTCTCTGACATTCTTTGTGTTTCCTCTGTCCGAAATTTCTACATTGTCGAAATTGAATTCATGTCCATAATTATCCACGTGGATTGAAATGAGTGACGATATGTCGTGGCATTTAATAGCCAATTGGTGCTCATGTAGACGAAGGCGAAGAGGGCGGCCGCTTTGTCCAATGTAGTGCTGACTACAGTTATTCCAGTTGATTTTGCAAATGATATTCGGTTTGTCTTCTTTGTTTGTTGCATCCTTTAGTCTGCATAATAGTGTTTGGAGGGAATTTGTTGGTTTATGAGCCACACCAATTTCAAGTGGTCTCAGCAATCTTGTTGTGATTTCTGATATATTTTTTATGTATGGTAGGATAATGCGTTTATTGATTTTTGTCGATGACTTTGTAGTTGGTGATGCACGGGATGGCATCTTCTGATAAAGTTTCGTGGGTAGGCGTTCTTCTTTAGGGTGGGGACATCAAGTAATTTTCTTCGTTTCTCCATGAAGTTGTTGTGCTGCAGTATGTTCTCGCTCTTTTGAATAGAGTTTGCACGCAGCTGATTTTGTGTGCTGTTGCTATTGTAGTTGAGGATTTGGTCAGTGTGTGTTGGCTTCCTGTACACTTGGGTTTCCAGCTTTCCGGCATTTGTCCTGCTGACTAAAACATCCAGGAATGGTATGCATGTTATTTAGAAAAGCTGAAACTTATACTGCTTGTATAAGTCGATCTACTGACAATCTGATTGTTGAAACCTCTTTATTTCGACTATTTTAGTAATATTATGATGACTGTTACAAATATCACATTCCTTAAGTTAGCTATTGTTGATTGCCCTGGCAGCTAGTAAATTGATTGTCTATCTCAGTTATTAATTGTGGATAGCTGATAGGGAACCAATTATTGTATCATAATAGTACAGTGCCCAGTTCACAACACTGAACTCAACTCTGACAAGTATAGAGTACAGGCAGTAAGGAACACATGCAGTGACCA